ACTTAGGATCCTTAGTAGTAAGAGATATACTTAAAAAAGCTATAAATTAGTTACGTATTTGCTGCTTGTTACTTTATAGTTCGGTAAATAAGTACTAATATAGTAAGTAAAAATGGAAATATCCCTAGTTTATTAAAAGTTAATTTAAACTGATAAAAGCTAAATAACTCTCTACTAAATAATAACTTAAAGATATAGTAAAGTATTTTAATAATTTTAAGGGTATTATTAAGAAATATAATATAGGGCCGTTGGCGGCGTAGAATAAAGACGAGATAAAGTGCCGCCTGGTAATAATTAATGGGAAGTTTAAGATATTAATTAATAAGATTATAATGAAAAAAAAAAAGTAAGTATCTGTACGAGGATATATAGATCTATTTAAATAATAAAGAGATAGCTTATTATATAATTTCCTTAATTGGAAGTTATTAATTTTAGCAATAGGAAGTTTATAATGTTCATTGGTTATAATAATGCTATTAGTAATATTATTTTAATATTTTATATTATAATTAAGTAGCCCGATTAGGCCGTTGGTGAAATAGATTTAGGTGATAAGGTTATTTTTACTAAGTTAGATACTACGTTTAGTAACTATAATATTATAATGGATTAATTTACTTATTTTAATGAGTACTTTTAGAAGTTTAATACGATAGTATAATATAAGGAACTTAACTTTGAAACGTGGTTTGGTTATACTTTTTGCCGAAGATATTCTTATGCCTTAGAGTTTAAAAAAAAGGTTAACTTTAATTAAATTCCTTAGGATAATTTTTAGTGCCGGCGAACTAATAAAAAAAAGTGTATTTATTGACTTTTACTATTAGATAACTTTTCGGGGTATTATAGTTTTAAGCTATACGAGTATTGCCTTTAGTTTGATATTATTATATTATATATATTATTTTATTTATTATAATTCCTTTAGTTAATAGATATAGGAATTTTTTAATACTTTAAATGCGCCTATTAGAAACGTTTTCGTTGGTATGTTTGAAAAGGCGAGTTAGTATACTCCCGCTTAAATTTTATAGCTAGATTAAATATAAGTTTAATTGCTTGGGCTATTATAGGTAAGTAGGAATTTATTTATATAGGAACTTTAGTAAAAAGGGTTTATAATTACTTATATTATAACTAGTATAAAAAAAGTAGTTATTATTTACCAAATTAAAAGCGGGTAATTGAGAATTTAACGAGGAAATTTAATAGGTCGAATAAATTAGCCTTTTTAATTATATAACTAAAGTCTAACTAATAGGAAAATATTAAAAAAGGGGTATAAAAGATTGCCTAAAAGTATACCTATTTTTTTAATTTTCTTATTTATAAAGTATTTTATAATATCGTTGCTACCGTTAATAAGGATTAATTAGTGAAGAAGTATTTTGAGGAGTACGTGATTAATCGGAGATCTCGCCTAGCGGCGTTATTAGTAAAGAAAACTTAAATTCCTAAAGTGCCTTTAGAGGGTCTTTTTGTTAAGTACGTAATAGTTAAATAGATCTACTATATAGCTGATATATAACGATAGAAAAACGAAGAGGTTACGCGTACGCGTTAAATAAAAGCTGTACTAAATATCTCAAAAGATATAAAAAAGGGTCTAAAGGTGGAATAGGATAAATAAAAGCGTTTTCCTAAGAATTAAGTTACTATTAAAGGTAAAAGAATAAGGATATTGATGTTTTAGGAGTATTTAGTAGTTACTAATTAGGAAGATTTCTTTATACTGCTTAACGAGAAATATTCTTTATAGAAGCTTATAAAGAACCTAGGGTTTTATATTGATTTTGGCCTAAGATATATCCCAAATTTTAAGTAACCCCTTTATAATCTTACGCTTAAAGAAGACTTTAAAGGTATTAAAATTACCTTTAACCTTACTTTTTTACCTATATATATATTTAATAATAATGAGGAGGAGGATTTTATAGGAGTTAAAAAGTATATAGATTAATATTAGTAATTAAAAGGAATATTTATAGCGAAATAAGTATTTTAAATGATATAAGGGTAGAAAAGAAAAACTTAATAGTTATAGTAAGACGAATTAGAGTTTGGGTTTGGGAATGCCCTTAGTCTAATTAATAAGAGTTTATTGCTGTAGTAGGTTATAACCGTTTAGTTAACTAACGAGGAGACTGCTGGTGGTGATAATAATGGTAGTAAGGTAATTAACGAAGATTCTAATAACCATAAGGACTTTGTAGACTTTAAGATAAAGGAAGCTTAGCTATAAGATATTAACTATTATTAGAAATTTGAAGATAATTAGATTTCTATAGGTTTAGGTAAAAAGAACTTGATTTTGGGGTTTTTATGGTTATAGTGGTGGTAGTGGCTGTGGTTGTAAGAGGGTATTAGTTTTTTTATTTTTTAGGCTTTTACGGTCTTTTTTTCGATAGATTTAGCTATTTCTGCTCTTAAAATACTAAAATACTAAAGAATAGTATTATTACTTTTGTTGTGGCTGATGTGCAGTAATCTGGCAATTGTGGTGTTGACGCTTCCTTATATAAATTTGGCTGTGATCCTGTCCGCAAATAAAAGCCTGTCCGCGAATTTTTTCCCCAACCACTTGCAAAGTGGTTGGTTAAGTAAGCGAAGCGCCCTACAGACCAACGGGTACATATTAATCTAGTGTAATCATGTTAACAATTACAGCTTCCCCCTTTTCCGCTCTTCGTAACCCCGGATCAGACCGTCCTGGTACTCGGTGGCGACGTGCACTCCGTCGGGACTCCAGATCTTGCTCTCGACAATTCCCCTCCCCGCGCCGGCCCTCGGAAACGTCATCTCCTGGATCCACCACTCATCCTCTCGGATGACGGCCTCGTCGGCGTTGACGTGCATCACAAAACTGTAGCTTAGAGTAGCCGCCCGCCCGAACGAGTGTCCGAAGCCGAGGTGGTTGCCCGCCGTCAGCAGCCCGTTGCGGTCGGCAGTAAAGGCGTGCGCCACGACGTGCGCGTTCGCATCGTACCCGTCGGTCCCATCCGCCGGCAGTGGTCGCAGAAGGCGGTACAGCACCAGCTCGACGCGCTCGTGCACCGGCTTGTCCTTGTTGAAGGCCCTCATGTCGACCTTCTTCATGTCGACTACCGGGAACTGGCCGACCTGGTCGGCGCCGTCGAGGTCCATGTACCCCTCAATGTCGATGATGGGCGATGGCGGCCAGTCCTGTGGCGGGCGGCTGTTGAGGATGGATGCGAAGCGGATCTGGGGTGGCGGTTCCTGGATTGAGACGCCCTTGCTGTGCGGCTCGGATGCTTTGAACGAGCACATGGCCGTGAAGGAGGTGGGACCTGGGGGGAGACTGGCGTCCTCGATGGGGAAGTGATCTTTTTCTGGGTTCGAACTGGGTGTCGAAGGTTGGAACGCAGTCACGGACATGGTCGTGAATGCCCGTGTCACGGCAGTCGGAGCTACCTCATGGATGAAGGGACGGTCGCCCATGCCCACGGCCGTGAAGTATCCATGGATGGTCTGCGACATCAGCATGTGGTCTGAGTGGAAAGGAGATACATACATGGAGGCCGAGTCTCTCTGACGGTTTAATTTTCTTCTTGTCCTCGATCTCCCTCATTGCTCGACAGGTCGCAAGCGCCGCCTGGCCGTACACTACACCGCCGAAGGCTGCTTTGTTCGGCACCGCCATGCTCGAAAAGATCTCGACGCCGGGGACGTAGGCTGCCCTGGTGGACATGTAGCGGTCGACATTCCTGGAAGGGTCTGCCGGCAGCTTGATGAGGTGGAACGTCTCCTGGAAGGTTAGCCGCTTATCTTCCGCCATGGTTTCATGAAAGTCTCGAGACGTCGATGCGCCGGTCCCTGATGACTGTGCGGCATGTCTCCTTTTACGGCGCCGACTCGGCCGTGCTTCTCCGGGGTGGGGGTCGGGACAGGCAGCCGAAGGAACGAGCCGGCGCAGGGGTGCCGCTTTAGCGAGAGCGAGATGCCGAGGCTGCACTCGGCCACGTGAGCGCTGTGCAACCCGGATATCAACATTGATTCCACATTTCATGCCAAAGGATTTTATAGCCTTATTCATGCATTGTGGATCGATGTAGCTTACGTGGATGTGAATACGGTACGGTTTAGGGCTGTAATGTTGCTGGACTTTTTCAAGCCCCCTTCCAGTATTTCTAAGCAGGTAGTACAGATGCTACCTTATTTCGCTGATGTGAGACGGCATACAGTAGATCCATATCACTGGGGAATCTGGATGGATTTGGATGCTGACGGGTCATTTTCTTACTCAGAAACAGTACGGTTGGTTTAGACCAGGTCGATACAATGCATCCAAGCCATTCATCCGAGGTGTAACCCTTCTTCTATCCATATGAAACGTCTGTACCAGGGAACACGAATTCAGCGGTAGGAATATTCGAAATGAGATGGATAAACACATCGGATCACATTTTACATCGACTCATGGAAATTCTGGTTCCTTGATGAAAGCCAGAACAAAAATCCATGAAAACCTATACTTCCGTTCCAATGACAAACCCCGCTGACGAACTGGTAAAAAGATTCCAGGGCTTATTTCGAGGGCCGATAAAATAGAACTATCCCCGTGATTTTAAAGAACGATGTCTCTGTCAGAACTAGTCCGATATTCACTCGGCCAGTGGATCCATAGAGTACCTCTTGCAATATTGCCGTCCAAATACCGCCTCGCCAGTTAGGTAGGTGTACAAGCACATTACCGCCCATGAGCACATATTCGTAGGACACAGCTGCATGGGGCGACATACGGTAATCTGCAGAGGAGCACAGAGCATGCAAGTACACTTCCGCCAACTGGACAAAACAACTTCACGTCATCGACATCTTGCTTCGGTAGCTACAATTCATTACATGTAGACTAGACTGTAGCCCGTATGAAACAAGAGACGGAGAGAACAAGTATGAAACATAAGGAGTGAACCAGGAACAAAAAAAAAGAAATCCCAAGTCACAGGGGATACCCGATAAGCAACACAACGAGACGTCACCTGTAGGATTCGAACCTACGCTCCCGAGGGAACTGCCTGACCGGCTCGTCACCCACCCTAGATGACAAGCAATAGCAGGGCAGCGCGTTAACCACTCCGCCAAAGTGACTTGCTTGCTTTCCTTGAAATTGCAACTCGCAACAGCAGATATGTATTGCGGACGAGGCTGGAACGAGAGAAGGCAGCTTTAGTAATAAGGACCTTTGGTTTGTATTTTGCATTGTTTGATCAGCTTGAACCGAGTATGTGCTCATTAAATTGGTTGACTACCTACCTAGGTACCTGACCTAGGGGATGCACCTCCCGGACGTTCCAGCCAACCCGTCTTGACCTATCGACGCATATTCGGAATACTGCCGAATAAGATGCCATCACAGTGCGCACCAGAGTCATCATTTGCAAAAGACCCTCTCTCAGGCATGCTGCACTCGCCCGTCGGTTTCAAGGCATAAAAGGAGAAACCGCCGCCCCAGGAACGGCACCGAAAACAGAATACAAGATGCGGACGTGGTCATATCCATACCCATACCCCTGACTGTCTCGGTCAGCGGAATGGGACAACATCTTCTCTACTTGCCTAAGTAGGCATGATTACATTTTACTTCCTCAACCAACGTCGGTCACGGAAGGAGAACCTTCCGTGGCAACCCTGAGCCTTATGTAAGGTATAAGCTGGTGGCACAACACAATCAGATCCGCCAGGGTGCAACAACTCTTGGTAGTTTAGATGTACAATACACACACACACACTCGTGAGAGATCGTCTCACCTGACGATACCGGCAACCTACTGAACACTGACCTACCAAGCCAGACGTACTTACCAACCCGGCCAAACCGCCTAGCGAAACACACGTGCCCGTAAAAAAAAAAAGCTCCAGCCATAAGGATGAAGAATTTGGGCGGGCTGGGAATCGAACCCAGGTCTTTCAATGAACGCTTGAGATGTATATATTTAGAAAAACAACGCTGAAATCCGCTTAGGGAAGAAAAGCAACGCTCAGGGAATGCGCTGACCACTACGCTACCCGCCCTTCTGTTTTGTTCTGTTGGTATATGGTAGTGTGTTTTGGATCCATATACCCCCCAGCTGAAAGTCTGTTAAAACATGGTGGTTGATTGGCAATACGGAGTAGGTACTGGGAATGCGCAAACACTGGTGGTAGCCTTCCGCCCGTGTATGGCGACATGTATTAACAACCGCCTATCGACGCATCCAAGAAAGTAGAGTAAAAAGTTACAACCCACGTGGTCGATCTGAAACGACGGATTCGGGAATACCCGGGATCTAGCCTCGACCCTCTCTGCATGTCCATGCCGCGGAGCACCTGGCAAACATTGGCGAAATGGGACGTGGTTGGTCCTGGAGCCGGATGCAAAAGATGGATTTGACGGCGCTCGGTGAGAGAATCTGGGTTAATTGGTTCTACGGCCCGCAAGGGAAGAGGAGAGAGGGAGGGCATGGTGCCGGGAGTGAAGACGATGGGCGTGAGGGTTGGCTGTCCACTGGCTGAGCCCGGATGACATATTTCGTCTGCGACGGGATGGGCATGCATATCTGTGTGGCAGACGCAACTGCCTGTCCTCGCAATGCCCATCGAACGCGATTCGTCAGTTGAATGGTGCAAGCACGTGTCGTGAAGAGCTCCTGATCGAGACACGGCAGTTAGCCACCACGATCCGCGGGCGTATCTTCCACGATGCATTAGCGGACCTGCGATCGATGTGTCGCCTGTCTCTCCTACCACCTTGACCCAAGACCTGCTCAATCGGGATCGAAGGGCCGACCAGATATCTGTACCTAAGTAGGTCCAGAGGTGACCAGCACTTACAAGTCCGGGGACGCCGCCTGCATCTCGACCCACTACCCGAGGGGCAAAGGTGTTCGTGTCCCTGGAAGAGTGAAGATGCCCAACACGTGATGTGGCAACACAAAACTTCTTCAGATCTGCAAGACGAGCTGGAGCCTGACCTTACTGTGCTTGCTGTGCAACTGTGGTAGCAGCCAAGCAGCCTCTGGCAGCCCAACCAAGCGGAAGCTTGCCGCAGACCTTGGACGGAGACCTCCGGTGGCGAGCAGGTTTCGATCTTCCGTGCTTACGACCCAACATGATTCCAAGCTACCACTCGTCCGGCTCAGACCCGCGAGCCGTCTGATCCGAGGTAATGTTCGGTTATCCAGTTGACCACTGGTGCTCGAGAAGCCACTCTAGGCAAAGGCCGGAACCCAATGAGAGACCAGAATAGCTTCAAAGAGGTATGGTATATCATCTTGAGCCCTGCATAGTTAACGTCAAGCATGCAAGTGACAGGGAGCCCGAGCTCACCTAAAAACCCGCGTAACAATCCCATGTCGGCCGTTCGCAGCCCGGAGTAAGAGTACACTGTACCCTCGAGGTGGGAGGCACGCTTCCCCGGCGGAAATGCAAAAGGCAACCCGAGGCCACGGTAGACGCAACCTTTTGCTTGGGTGGGGGTACGTGCCACCCCTTTCGGGGCGCGAGATTTTGGTACCGACACACACACCTTTTTCGATTCCCTGCGTACGGAAGGGACTTCATCTCAACTCCCCTTTCACCACTGGATATGTTTGGCCGCTAGTCCCCCACGTTTCCCAGTCCAACCCCGCAACTTTGCGCAGGGGCTGGCTTGAAGCAGACACAGAGATCATGGGGAAGCCCTGGTGGTTGTTTCAGACTTGAACACCAAAACACATGGCGAAATGCTTGGTTGCGATGTCTTGATAGTCCCCAAGTCTCGGTCACCAGAAGGGGAATCGGGTCGAGGCGGGGCGGGTCCACGTGTTTTGAGGACCGCTCCGAAAGGACCCGTGGGCCGTCTCTCTCTGACCTTGCCAGTAGTTACTCTAGTTTGCGGGGTTGGTGACCGTGGAGGTGGCTTGCTGTAGTTAGCGAGGCGTCGACATGGAATCCGGGGTGCTTCTGCGCCGATGCTTGGGGCAGTTGGGGCCCATGACTGGCGGAAAAAGGAGTCAGCAAGCAGAAGCGTTGAGGGGGGCACACCATTTCGTTCGAGGGCCGTCCCTTTGACAGGCGGGCCTTTTGCAGTGGCGCCTGCCAGCGAAGCACGATGAGATGGTGTCGTCGTGCCCCCACCGTTTATACCTGTCTGGTAAAAAGGTGCGGAATTGGGTGACTTGCAGTCCTGTTGGGGCGATGCCAAGCCCTTCTCTCGCAGCTCGACTGCATCGAGACCCAGACCTCTGGGATTTTTGGTCAGAAGCCGCTGCGGTAGAGTACTGGCAGAAGCCATCCTGTGGTGTTGTCCATTGTATAAGCTCGGGGACGCCAGATGGCCAATATCAAGAGGACATGTGAAGCCGGAGAGCCCGTAGCAACAGACGATTCCGGGTCTCGTCATGTGCGTCGTCATTCAACACCGAGGCGCTGACTATGTAGTTCCTCATGGACGACGTGACCTCTCCTGAGCCGACCTCTCATTTTCTCGCCATCTCTCACGCCATCGGGTTAGTCTGACGGTTGGCCTGGCGTAACGCTCAACGTGGATGCTGTGACCTTTCGAAGAGGAGCTTCCTATTGCGGAAAGCTCGAGATGTCGCAGTGGAGCAAAGCGACATTACGAAGACACGAGAACCGACAGTTGCCGTTGGTTTCCGAGTACAGTAGGTATTGTATATTGACACCTGTGTCGACGGCGATGCATGACGAGAACGGACAGTCGATATCAATCATCAATGTTTCATAAGTCAGGGGCAGTACTCTAGCCGCAAGAACCGTGATGCGACCCGGACGTCGGGCCGTGGCGATCAAGCCTGGCTGGAGCGGGCTCGGTACCAGCTGGGCGAAACCAGCAGAGCGATCTCTATTTTGGGGCGCACACGTGAAGCGCATCGCGGAGGAAATCGCGCATATCGAGAAAAAGGGGTGCGGAGGATCGCGAGAAGACGAGATTTGCTCCCCTTTTCTTCCGCGATGGTGGCGCCGACAACGTCTCGGCGACTCCCGAAGCCTTGCGCGATTGCTGGCCGAGGGAAATTGCGGTGAAGCGTTGGCCTGTCCCTTCATTCCGCGCATGTCACTTCCCCAGATTCTCGGCAACTTTGTTGGAGCCGAGACTCGAGCGCGGAGAAGAGGCCGTTTGTCTGGAGCACTGGAGCAGCGCCAACCAGAGGCCACCAAAACCGGGATTTGACCGTGTCTTGTATTTTCCCCGCCGTCCCAAACGTCTGGATTCGTCCGATGCAGAACTCGGAGCGGAGACCCGACTTCTCGATGGCTCCGACCATGGCAAGCTGGCCAGATGACGATGGATGCGGGTCTGTGTGACATCGGCAGAGCCATTGTTAGCATTTGGCCTTGACGATCTGGGGACAGCATGTCTGGGGAGCGCTGGGGAGAGGCACGCTGTGCCCGTCCGGGGAGCTCTTGTCCAACAAGTCTTTTTAATTGGCCCTAGCCCAGTCTGGCGAAAAGCAAGCCATTTCCCTCTGCACCCCGTGATCTTTTCCGTCGAATGAGCATGCGAGACCGCCGAACGGCTGATTTGGGTGAGTGAGACCCGACTCCCGGCAGGCACTTGGGTAGGGCGAGGGGGGCGCGCAAAAAATCATTGACGGGCTTGCGTGTCGCCCAGACGGTCCCTGCTGCTTAGCTGCTATACTTCGGTAATACTCCGTATTGTCAGCAACGAAAAAAGGGAAAAGTCGTTCTCTGTTCATTTCTGACGGCCCCAGACGCAGCGCATAATGGCGACCACAGCCAAGGCAGAGCTGCTGAAGACAACAGCAACGAATGTCCAAAGCGAAGACGAGAAAGGAGTGCACCGAGCGGTGGTTTCGCTGGGGTGTGATATCGACAGGGAGCTGCAGCTTTTCCCAGCACTTGGTCGCTTTAGGCCGGGGGGTGGAGAATTTCCGGGGAAGGAGGAGGGGTTCAGCCACTGTCCAAACAGAGCAGCCCAAGAGCCGAGAGAGGGGCTCCAGGCCTGCAGGGATGCTGTCCGCAGCCCGCACGTCGCATGTCGCAGTCTCGACCTCCCCTTCCATCGTTCTTTCTCGGCCCAAAAGCAACGAATGGCTCTTTCGATTACGCCATGGAAACTGCTCCCTTCTGCACCTCTCATGAAATTC